TCTTTGTATCATACTTTTCAGTAGGGCTGTCCCCGTGGTTTTATGCACCCCGCTTAATTTAGCAAAATTTGATCATTTTTTGCCTAATTTCTTATTTTTTTCCTTTATCATTCTTTGTTAAAATTAACAGAATCGCATAATTTCACATTTTTTGACTCAGTTTGCATAATTTCAGAATTTTTCTAGCATAAAACGACGGGGACAGTTTCCTTTGTATGATACTTTTTGGTAGGGGGTTTCGTTAGCTTTGTTGGTTTCATGCTGGACGATGGGACAGATGGTTCTGCTTTTTCTTTCCTCATCCTTACTATTGTCCTTTTTCCTCTACTTCTTTTGTATGTTTGTCACTCTCTTGTGACCCGCTATTTCCGAGCTGCCTTGATAGTCGAAGCAGAGTTTGTGCTGTTGAGGCTAGAGAGGTGATCAGAGTAAGCCTGATTCCCCGTTTGGACTTCTCTGTTGACATCAACCCCTTGGGTGGGTGGTTGGCGGGTGCTCTGGTGTGGTTTGCTTCTTCTTTCCTATCAAACGTCTATTGCCTTTATCTCTCCTCCTTCTTTTGTTTGTTACTCTCTTGTAATTTCTGCACATATACTTTTATGACCTTATTGTGTTGCATGTGCTGTAAAACTCTTCTTACAAAACTAAAGATAATGGAGATTTTAGTGGTGGTAACCACTACTGTATGAGTGTAAGAATTAATGATAAATACCAAAAAATTGTCTAGTTTTTTGTTGTTGTTTTTTTTATTTCTGTGTGACTTTGAGTCATTCCGTATTCATGACACTGTCTGTAGATGAGGTACTTTTGTATCTTGAGTTGTTTATAACACTTGTATTAAGGTGATGGGTTCATGTAGGAAGTTTTATTTTTTTTGAGTTGCTTTTTTAAATCTTTGCCCTGGTTTTGTCTTATATTACTGGGATGAGTTTAATTGCCGGAACATTTTCATTGTTGATAAGATTCTACGTCTTAGTTTCTCGGTTCTGGTTGCTCATGATTTTGTTGTTCAGATGTTTAAGAAACATTTTCATTTTTGATCAGATTCTGCGTCTTAGGGCAGTGTCTTCCTCTGAAGGGAGATGAGAAGCCGTTCTGTGTCGGATGCGACACAGATTTTACCATTAGACACATTTTAACGGAATGTCTAGACTTTGGAGAGATCCAGAGGAAATACTTTAAATGCAAGAAATTGCAAGACATTTTTTCTGTCGCTGGTCCCAACAGAATTTTGGATTTTATGAAGGCCATTGGCCTAGAAAATTGTAGTGTAGAACAAAATTGAATTATTAAAATTTTTTATAAAAGTTGTTTTAGATTGAAATTTTATGTTTACACCAAATTTTAAATTTTTTAACGTTTTAAGATGAAATGACCCGTACCCAGCCGTACAGTGAACTGCAAATGAAAAACTAACTTGTGTTTCGCGCGCTCATTTGACCTTATGCAGTTGCGAGCACACAAAAGCCTTACTGAAACAAAATAGCTAATGATTGTGTTGTTCTGATGTTTAGAAACATTTTCATTATAATATTATTATTGATAATATTCTGCGTCTTGGTTTCTTTGCGCTGGTTGCTTATGATTGTGTTGTTCAGATGTTTAGATTTAGGGGAACGGGAAAATGTTACCAAAATGGTGAGTTGATGCCTGAACGTGCTGTCGTCTTTTTCTATTGCCTGATGTCATGGTGTCATTAGACCTAAAAGCGAGATATTGAACACTCGGAGTGTAAATTTTGTTCACCTAACTGAACCTTCTCTTCTTCTTTGTTCTCAATGACAGCAGCTAGACAGTCAGTCCAAAGTCGCTCACAAACTGCTTTCTCTCAAGGGGAGTCACATTCTGCCACGTCTGTGTGCGAAGGGTGGCGTTGCGCGGGCAGTGCTGAAGGATATGGTTGGCATCCTCTTGGTCTTGTCCATATTCGCAGATTGCGGACTCTCCCACTTAACTAAATACCCCTTCTCTTGCTCTGGAATCTCTTTTCCCTTTATGCTGCTTATGACTGTAGATAATGCATAGATTGTGCCGATCGTGCTGTAAAACATTTCCCTAACCCTATCCGTACGCCCTGGGGTCATTTTGCACCCCGGGGGTTGTATTTTTCACTTTTTAGAATACTTCAAGTACGAAGATCTCTATGAAACTTTCAGTATTTCTCAAAAAATAATTTTGACACACTGCTATGCAAAGCGTGCGGGTCGGATTAACAAGTAAATTTTCTCTTTGGAAAGTGATGGCACAGAGTTCCCCACGTCGTATGGATGCGGTAATAAAACACGACGTACGGAGAGGGTTAATGAAGTCAAGTCATTTAGTAAGTATTTCTACCAGATGGGCCCCAGCTGCACACTGACTTATCCGTAGCTCCAGACTGTTTTTATGGAATGTTGTTGCGTTGTGGCACCCATTCATCTTGACATCGGTGGTTGGCGGGTGCTCTGGTGTGGTTTGCTTCTTCTTTCCTATCAAACATCTATCGTCCTTACCTCCCCTCCTTCTATTTTGTGTTTATTACTCTCTAGTAACACCTCTAATCGTCGGCACTTATATGACCTTATTGTGTTGCAAGTACTGTAAAACTCTTACTAAAACTAACCCACTTTGACTTGGACCCTCTTGCTCAATGGCTGGCTGCAGTCTGACAGTTGTTGGTTTCTATTCTCCGTTTGGCCTGGCGTTGGCCTGAATTGAGAATGCCGTAAGCAAAGTACAGTGGAATCTGCTTAAAGTTAAAGTGAACTCTTTGGGACCAGAAGAAAGTGTTCACTCTATCCGATGTTCAGTTTAACCATTTTGGTAGGGTGGGGGTCTAGAACTAAGAAACAGTAGCTACGCACAGTGGTGGGTCAAGGGAGGGGGGGGGGGGAAAGGGACAACACAACGGGCGAGCCTAGACTAGAGCTATTTCTTTCTGATTGAGATTGCCGTCGCCACCGCCGAGCTGGGATTGTCTGCCGATGCCCGAGGCAAAGAAATTTATTTTCACAGCTTGGCGACAGTGACACGGTCGGTCCGTTCTTCGATTTCACTTATTTTGGGTGTTCACTTTATCTATCCGATTTCTCCATGAAACTGGTTCATTTTATCCATTATTTTTTTTACTTAAACAAATAGCGTTTCAATCGGGACCACAGAATATCGTTCACTTTAACCGATTGTTCAAATAAAGCGTGTTCACTTTAGGCGGACTCCACTGTAGCTGTGCTGAGTCGCTGACATCGCTTTTTGCTTATTTGATTATGCTCACAATAAGATTATATGTACTATGTACCGACACTTGATTCTCAGCGTTCTGCTTTTGGATTTGTATACACATTGAATTTATTGTAAAGAAAAGGTTTTTTAAAGACATTAAGCCCAGGATTTCTGTTTGAGGAATCCATGATTTTGAGACATACTGGATTCATTAACTTTGGTGCACTTGACTACAGTGTAATGAGAAAGTAGATTCTCAAAGATTGTCTTTTATTTTCTCTCCAAACCCACCTTCTTTATTTTTACACAAATTTTTGCCTTGGCAGTTTAATGTGAAACAAGATGGAGAGGAACGATGTGATTAAAGCTCCATCTATGACTAGGACAAAATGATTATCTCATTTGCATTATAATATACATATTATTATAATATATATAAAATTATTTTTCCTTTATCAGCTGTTCATGGCGCACTTGTGTGCGACTTCCTGGAGAGTTTTGAGGCAGAAAGCTCATAATTATTTTCTCCAACCTCAGACTATTTTCTCAGTCTACTGTCAGTTTATGATGCACTGCTTTAGGCCCCATCATGGCAGTGTTACTGACTGAAGGGTCGTTAGGCCATTCGCAAAGGGGGGATATTAACATGTTCTTATGCACAGTAGAATTGTTTGTCACTCTCTTGTGAACTTTTTTTTCCGGGGTGCCTTGATAGTCGAAGCAGAGAGACTTTGTGCTGTTGAGGCTAGAGAGGTGAGCAGAGTAAGCCTGATTTCCCATTTGGACTTCTGTTGACATCCACCCCTTGGCGCTCATATGACCTTATGCAGTTGCGAGGGCTGTAAAACCTTACTAAAAAAAAGCCCTGCTTTATTGAACTGGGGAGCACTGTTTTGAGATCACCAGCATTGTAGCTAGGTGTTTTGCTGTTGAACGCCGGAGACCCGAGTTCTATTCCCGAGTGGGGAGAAAATTTGTATCGGTCTTTCTGCTGCTGGGATGTTGTAAGTTGTATCTCTCTCAGATTGGGTTGGCCCTGACAGACAGGGTCAGAAACCCGCCTCCTAAATGATCTAAAAAAATTTATTTTTTTCATTATTTCCATTCTCATGTAAATGAAAGATTATAATTTGTATTAAAGTTGAAATGCTCCACCATTTACTGAAAGTTTTGCCTCTTATTTGTACTATGTCACACCCTCTGATGCAGAAAAGGAAGCATTAGACCAAAAACTACAGCCTTTGGGTCTTGACCATAGCTACATCCCCTTAAGCCAAACGTTAATGTTGGGTTCACTTGCATCTGGTTGACAGTATGCAATGGCCGAATAGATTTTTGCATTGAAATCAACGATCAGAATACAGATGTGTGGATACCAAAGTCCTTTATGGCTTGTGTGGAAGACTGGATCATTCATCAGCTAATATATCAGAAAGCAGTTCTAACCAGCTGTCAGGGGATTGCAGATAGAGAGTGTCTCACATGTGCATAATATTAAATAAGCTTTAAACACAAAAGCCTACGCACAGATTTTGAACAATTTTCATTAGAGTTTTACGGCACTTGCAACACAATAAAGTCATATAAGTGCCGAAGAATAGATATGTTACAACAGAGTAAGATACACAAAAAAGAAGGAGGAGAGATAAGGACGACAGATGTTTGATAGGAAAAAAGAGCAAACCACACCAGAGCACTCGCAAACCACCTACGATTTTGAAGGATATAAAAAAAGAAAGAAAACAAACACAAACATGAAAACAACCTCAAGTAGGAAAGAATCCTTCGCAACACAGAAGTTGGACTTTTATTACTTTTATTACTTTTAAAGAAACCTCAAGTTGCTCATTTTCTAAAGACATAAATGAACATGAAATTATTACATCCTTTGACACCTGGATCGAGGTTTTACGCAGATTTATAACCCGACTAATTGCAGCTGTGCAAATTTGAAAAGATTACATGATTTTTCCCTTGAAAGTAACTAAAAATTATATTCTGACCAAGCAAACCTATAGCTTGCAAAATTGAAAATTTTAAGAATAAAATTCAAGTTTCATAAATATGGACCAGTATATTGTAAGAAAAAAAAAAATGACACTTTTCGAATATCAAGATCACAGACAAAAAGGTAGACACATACATTTTCACACCAGCCACACTTTCTAGTAAATGAAAGCAAAACACAATACCAAAAAAAAAAAAGGAAAAGAGCAATTCCCTTCGCAGAATACAAATGGGTGAAGCTGTCACATCCACTCACACACATTTACACTCAATGAAGTTATTTACAGGTATGGAGTCAAGATATCATGAGAGGCTGATGACTGAAACTTACTCCCTAGGTACCATACACTTATTTTTCCTGAATCTTCCAACTGTCTGGACAATTCTTTCATGTAAAAACAAGCCTGAGGTAAACTGCCGAAAGTGAGTACAAAAATTCATTCGTTTCAGCGATGAAAAGAAGCTAAAAATAGTTTTGATTGGAAACCAAATTACTATTCCCATCTATTACCCCTTTTTTCTGTTCTGTTCAAGCGAGTAGGAAAGCTTTGGAAGAGTTCACCCTGATGAAAGAAAACATTGGGGGAGGGGGGGGGGGGGGAGGGGGGGTGTCATAGCAAATTGACTCGGTCTGGAAGAAAGCTTGTCTAGATGGCCAATCCGAAGACGCTGACAATGCAGAACATGGTCTTGTTCTCCCACCTCACAGTGCAGCTGCCTGCAAGAGGAGAAAGACAAAACAATATTGCAAGTCATTAGATCAGATTGTGGAAACACAATCATCAAGGAACAGAATTCTGCTTTTGGAGCTCCACCCTTAACAACACTTTGCCCCCACGGGACGCCGATCGGCGACGGTAAGAAGCCGTCTCTTTACCCCCACGGGACGCCCATTGGCGACGGTAAGAAGCCGCATCTTTTTCCCACGGGACGCCGATTGGCGACGGTAAGAAGCCGCCTCCTTCGCTCTTTTTCCTATGGGACGCCAATCGGCGACGGTGTGCTATAGCATGTACGGCACCTGTATCCTGGTCCGCGGGGATAAGTATTGCACGCTCAGCGCGCTGCGTGGGTGGAAAGTGTTAAAGTGATGGATGTGACGTCGTTAGGCTGATGCAATCCATGTACAACGGTTTCTTAGCTCTTAGTTTTTTAGGAGAGGTTTTATTGCGCTCGCAACTGCATAAGGTCATATGAGCGCCAGATTAGAGGTGTTACAAGATAGTAACTAACATAAAAAAGAAGAAAGGGAGATAAGGACGATAGATGTTCGATAGGAAAGAAGAAGCAAACCACACCAGAGCACCCGCCAACCACCCACTTCTTAGTTCTTAGCTTTCATGCACAGCATCATAATCAATCACAGTGGCTGGCAATAGAACGGGTGAAAATATTCTTTAGACATACACAAAGAAACAACTGACAAGACCATAGATATATATATGAGAATTTTGGCATAATAAAACCTAAACTGTGACATTAATGTACGTACAAAACTAAGACTCATACCTACATGTAACCTTTGAGTAGGTGGCCAGTTTTGACACTTGAGAAAAGTCATAAATCAAAGTATCAAGATAAAGAAGTCTTGAAGGTGTTTATACTCATCTCAGGTCTAACGTTTGATTTAGTAAGAGTTTTACGGCACTTGCAACACAATAAGGTCATATAAGCGCCAAAGATTAGAGGTGTTACAAGAGAGTAACAAACACAAAAAAAGAAGGAGTGATTAGGACGATAGATGTTTGATAGGAAAAAAGTAGCAAATCACACCAGAGCACCCGCCAACCGCCCACCAGCAGCAAAGAAACCAGTGACGCTTCCAGTATCTTACCATCTGATGAGTTGTCCCAAAAACAGGAGCTGGCTGTGTGTAATCCCGCCCCATTTTTCTGCATGATCACACAGGTCACTGTAAGAAGAAGTGAAAATAATTTTGAATGATCACACAGTAAGAAGAAGTGAAAATAATTTTGCATGAAGACACAGGTCACTGTATGAGGAAATGAAAAAAACCCCCATTCATTTAAATAACAACAGAGCCACCTTGATTGTAGCAGTTAGTTGTCATGTTTAAGAGTCTCATGACATAGTCAATAAAACCTGAAATTTTTAAAGTCAAGGAACTCATTTTCATATGGTCACAGATAATTAAAAATTCTATTTCTATTTCTTGTCTGGAAATTAAAGACAATGTTCAATGCACACTAACTGGCTAGAGACTTGAGAGGATTGCACAGAGCAGAGACGGGTGGAGAGCCCTTCTCGGTGGACCATTAGATACCCAATCCCGGGGGGGGGGGGGGGGGGGGGGGGGAGAAAGAAAAAAAAAAAGAAAGAAAAAAAAAAAAAAAAAAAGAAAAGTAAAGGAAAAATAAAAGACCCAAAAAAAAAAAAAAAAATATCCCCCTCTTCCCACCCTCCCATATTTTAAAAATGGGAAGGAAAAAAAACCACGGGGGGGGCCCGCCAAAATTTAACCCTTTTTTGGAGACCCCCCCCTCGAGAGGAGGGGAGGGAGTATCGGAGAGTGAGGGTCCTCAGATGCGAGAGAGAGACAGAGAGAGAAAGAGAGAGAGAGAGACAGAGACACAGACAGAGAGAGACAGAGAGAGAGAGAAAGAGACAACCACACATCCAAAGTGGACAATGATGCAGTACATTCAAACATTCGAGGTTTCAGTACAAAACGTCTCCGACTCGCAGCATGTCAGAATGGGAAGGCAGACAAACCCGACGGGGGTGCCAAAATTGAGCCGTTGTTGAGAGAGACAGACAGAGAGAGAGAGAGAGAGAGAGAGAGACACAGACAGAGAGAGACAGAGAGAGAGAGAGAGAGAAAGAGACAACCACACATCCAAAGCGGACAATGATGCAGTACATTCAAACATTCGAGGTTTCAGTACAAAACATCTCCGACTCGCAGCATGTCAGAATGGGAAGGCAGACAAACCCGACGGGGGTGCCAAAATTGAGCCGTTTGTGACCCCCTCTCTCTCAGGCAAGGCACACAAGTTTTTAGTTTAAGTAACAGTTTTACGGCATTTGCAACACAAACAAAAAATATCTGAAACAGATGAATAAGCAGATTTGGTCGCTTTTAAGCACAAGGGGGCTATCCCGATAATAGCTGTCTTGAGAAAATCAAAGGTAAAGTTTTTGCCCCTTACTCTGTTTCTTTAAAAGACAAGGAGAGTTTTCTCTATAACCAAACAAATTATATATACACAACAATGAAACCAAACTTCTCCTTTAGGTAGGGCAATGCCCACTTTTGGTGTAGGTCAAGATTTCTGGAACCCCCCCCCCCCCTGAAATCTGGGTTACTCGCTTGTCCTTAAAGAAACCATTCTTCTTATGTTCAAATAAACAAATGACATCTCACCAATGTACTTGAAGGGTTTCCCTAGCTTGGTGAGCTGGTTGAGGCACTGCTCCACCACGTTGGACGTCCACTGGTTCACCTTGTTGTGCTGGTAGGCGTTGCCTCCGATGGCGCCCTCCACCGCCTCTTTGATGATGTTGGTGACCTCATCCACAACAAACGCTGTCTGATTGGGGGGGAAACAGAGCCACACAAAAACATTTTTAGAACCATTCACTTTTACTTTCAGTTGGGGCAGTATCAAAGTATGAAAGCTGTAAAAAAAACAACCCCAACACCAACTTATATTACATTTTCAAGATCTCGTAAACATTAACGAGGGGTTGTCTAGTGTCGATTGGCCATCACAAAATCCTGCAACAGAGGGGTTCGACTTTTAACGCAAGTAACATGGAATAGTTTTTTTTCTTTTCGTAAGAGTTTTACGGCACTTGCAGTCATATTAATGCCGAAGATTAGAGGTGTTACAAGAGAGTAACAAACACAAAAAAAGAAGGAGGGGAGATAATGACGATAGATGTTTGAAACGAAAGAAGAAGCAAACCACACCAGAGCACCCGCCAACCACCCACTAAAGAATAATTTAAGAAAGTAGCATGAAGTAACACTATTAAAAAAAGAGCCAAATCAAAGCATTCACCTATGATTACCACATATCTTTCTTTTTAATTGGTAAGGTTCCTGTACACAAAAAGTAGGAACAAAACAAAAACAAAGCAATAATAATAACCAAAACAACTTGAAAAAGAAAATATACATGTAAACAAAATCCACGGCAACAAAAATTTGGATCACTTTACATTTTTAACAGTGACGACATGAGCTATTATTCGTTGAGCAGCAAAAAATACAATGCTCAGGACGTAAAAGAACATGCCAAACACCAATTTTTCTATAACATTGTCTCTCCGAAAAAAACAACCATGACAAAAATCACTTGCAATTATAATATAATGCAAGGAAACAACGAACAAACATTCCAAAAGGACAGCATTGCTTGAAAAAAGTCCTCTTCCAGGAGCTCAGTCTAAAACAAAAGTGGTGACAGCGTCTGTTTGTGTCCACGAAAGTCAGGGTGCCTCTGCTGTCCCACCCAGCTCAATAAAAGCGAGCAGAGGGAAAAAGATGCAGTTTGATCATTTTATTACCATTTTGATACTCTGTAAGAAGGAAAATTTCTGAAAAGACAAACTTGGTGGAAATCAAAGCCTTTAGATTTTTAAGGCTATAATAAAGTTGCCACTTTGGCCTACAAAAATATATAGAAACTAACATCTCGGTCAGACTGGCAAAATGCCAACTTCCGACAAAATGTATTCCAAGTGGCTTCTTTCTAATTTCCTACCTCATCCAATCATTATTGTCAGTTTTCCAGGACGAATATATAAGGCCTTGTGACAAAAATGAGAACGAAAAGAATTGTGGAATTGAAAACATAAAAAAACGGCAATTCAGATACTTGGGTATTGTCAATCGAAGCCAACTTGAAAGGTTCGGGAACTTACTTGCTGAGGACAAAAGGGACATCATGTAGTAAGAACTTGGTTGTTTTAACCTGAACAAGTATGAACACTAATTACACACTAACTCAAGTTAATCACTAAAGAATTTCTTATTCTTCTTGCACTCCCTACCCTGTCAAGCATCCCTTAAGTAAGCAAAAACTAAAACTTTATATTAACATACCCAGAATAAGAAAAGGTTGGCTAAGTGCTTAAGCAGAACAAAGCTGTCTGAGCGGGAAAAAAAATCAATCGTTATGTTGTCAATATTTAACTTTTAGAAGGCAACCTGTAGAATGAGTGCCAAAAACTAATACTCATGACTATGTCAGTCTATTTTCTATCTACTTTTGTAAAAAAAACAACCAACCAACAAAACAACAAACAATTAGAAGCTTCTCAAATAATTATATATATCAGTATTCATTCTATTTTACGATTTTGACAAAAAGAATTTTGGTAAAAAGAACTGAAAAATAGAAATAAAAGCTAGCACAACAGGTGCAGGAAAAAAAAAATCGGAACTAATTTTCATAACTCCCAAGTAGAATAGAGCATTTGAAATTCTCCAAAATATTTACTTAGAAAATCAACAATTAGTCTGTTAGCTGAGCTGTCCATTCCCTCGAGTGAAAAATTGAACCCTGCTACGAGTGGGCCCCACAGTACAGCCATCATAGAGTGAGAGTGACCCTCAAAGTAGATAAAGATCAAACTGTGCTCCAAAGGTTTATGTTTTAAATTCAAATGCCAAACCTAAAAAGAAATGTACAGAAACAAGCACCTGTCATCAGAATAGAACTAAGTAGCTATCCATGAACCTGTGGGTTACTATAGACTAATTTTGCACTATGCCACTTCCAATCTCAATTGCCAAGATCCAATAAGTCCCTTCGAGAGCATCCAATTTTCCTCCAGCTTTGCTCATCGGAACAACCCCCCCCCCCCCCCCCCCCCGCCAAAAAGCTTTACTGAAAACACTGTGCATGTATCACTTAATTTTCAATGAACACATACACACCCTGTGCTTTCAAGATTGAATGTTCATGCAAAAAATGGGCAAACATTAGATGCTCCTGAAAAAAAGGTATCCCTGGCCCGCACAAATGTTTTATTATTAAAAAAAAAAACCCCAAAAGAACGGCAACTATACTGACTACAAAAGATTTCCGAAAGCCAGATGATTATGTCTTCTACTTACAACTAGATCTAGTTTTCTTGAAATGAAAATAAAACAACTTAAAGAAATGAAATGCCACCAAATAAATCAAGGAGAAGAGAAACGAAGAATGAGTAAAAAGTAGAAATTGCGAAGCATGCCAATCTAAAAAGGTGACAGTGTCGCAATTTTACATGCACAAATGTCTTTGCTCACCATCTGAAATCAAAATAGAGAGTTACTGATGACAAATATTGCTTGTCCATTATAATTACACCAATCAAGTAACGTCTTTTTTACTTATTACGATATATGCATTATGCCCTATCCCTTTTAAAATACCATTAATTAAAATAAGCATTTTTCAGACTCAAAATTGCAAGCACATACAGGCTTAACTCACACTAGAAAAGAAGTGCCAACCAGGCCCTAGACTAAACTCTTTTCCCCTGTGAGGCTGAAGTTATATTAAGACCATGTTCTGATCGGCTAAATCGATCAGCTTGGGGTATGCTCAAGCTAAGGTTGCCATAGAAAGGTAACTCTATCTTTTAAAAAAATCAAGATATAGGACAATTTTCCACAAGAGCACAAGTACTATCTGCAGTACGTTCCCTGGGTGTTGCTGCTGTAATAACTCTATCTCTATCACAAGAATTTCTCTTTTGAACTTATTTGATTAATACTTAATACATTTGAGCAATTCACAAAACAGAGGGTGTTCTTGAACTACAATAGAGTTGTAATATCGCTGTTTAACGTCTTCCTCAAATCAACAGGAAGACGACGCACAAAACAAGATACCTCAAAACTTAAAAGGGCAAGTGGGGACGAGCAGTTAATTCATTTGTTTTTATATATATATATATATATATATATATACCACAAGGTAAAATAACAACAAAAGTAAAAATTGTGCAAGGTGTGTTGACCTAAGCGAAAATCCCTTAGAGACGGAGGAGTGTGTTAAACGAAAACAAAGCTTAGGTTACAGCGATCAGCCTCAGACGGCTCTACCCACGTTATAGTGGTCCTTCTACTCTAACTAACAACTGTCTGTGTGAACAATGCTAGTGAACTTGACTTTTTCAAGACAAAAAAAAACAGCTAGTGAAGTGTTATGAAAGTGTTTTCTAAGAGAAGAATTTACAAGTGCCATCAAAATATAATGGAAACACAAGTTCAATACTCCAAAGAAAACAACATCTGAACGTTACAGTCAGATGCTGATAAATCTAACATGTACTATAATTTTTACCAACGGACAAGTGTTTAAGAATCCTCCCTTACCTCCTGAAATATAAATAGACAAAAAGCAATCAAAACTTCAGCATTGTCAAGATGTTATTCAAAGACAGACGTAACAAAGCCTGTAAATGAAAACTTAAATTTTAAAAATGTAATACAACATTAATTCTGTAACATATGATACACTGAATGACAAAAAAAAGGCTGTTCACTACATATACAGCAAAAAACGAAAACATGTTTAGAAAAAATTCCCTCAAGATGAGGATAGCAGAAAAAGAAAACTTGCTAAAGTACCAGAGACATTAAAACTACAAGTGTCACAATTTACATTGATTCGTAAAGCTGTCTTTTGGGAAGGAAACATAGACCTATGTGACGTCATAGAGTACTTCAGAGGAGGGGCTGAACAGTACAAAATGTAACTAATTTCCATAAAAATGATAAACCAATATTTTCCCAAAACTAAAAAAGTTTTTTGAGGAACGGCCACCTTAGACAGTGTATCATTATGAAAAAAAAAATGCCAGAAGGGAAATATGGGAAGTGGGCCTAGATATTTGTGCAGGTCATTGTCGTAGAAAGGTGGTCATTAGAGCAGGTTCAATTGTTATATATAGTGTAGATTCTATATGATGTTCTCTAAAATCAAGTGGAGAATATCATATTAAAAAAAAAAAAAAAAGAAACAAAGATGTATCTTAATAAAATTTCGAAATATCATGTACAGAAAACAAAAATCAAAATCTGTCTTCTGGAGACATTGATTACAATTCTGAGTGAAAATAAATCGAGGTGTTGTGTAAATATATGCGAGGCGCTGTGGTGTCAAAACAATGAAATTAAAGAAACCTGCTTATTTTCTTCTGTTTCTTCATGTAATAATAAAAGCTTGTTGTTATGACTGCGGATGGCATTAAAAAACCCCAAACATTCTAGAGGACTGGGGTCACGGTTTGTAAAAAAAAAAAAGCCTAAAAGTATCATGTAAATAAAAAATCACATCAGGAATATGGTCCTGACGAAATCTTAAATTCATGAGTCAACAGGGTGTGTGCATATATTATAACATAGTAGTACGTGTGTGGAATTAGGAGGAAGAGAGAACACAGGATACTTGTAACACAGTAGATTAAGAACACCTGCATATAAACCTAAAAACGTAATAATCGAATAACCCTTTTAGACGCTATAGTTGTTACAAATGATCTGGGGTAAAAAAAGAAAAACTATAGGTCGATTTCTAAACGTTTTAGTCTCAAATTTTTCTTTCCAGCTGCACAATGGTTTTAAAACCATCAAACAGGATTATTTTTATCAGGTAATAGGTCTATCACTTTAGGTAAAATCAATCTCATTTGAAAGATTTTTAAAATTGAAAAGAAGAGTTTTGTTTCGTGGTAAGATAGTCCTTTTGAGTTCCTTATTCTAAGTGGGTCAATTTGTTCAAATTTTAGTGGACAACATCTAGAGCTACCAACTTAACGTGTGTCTAACTAGACGTATGCCTCGATTTCGAACCAATGCAGATGGTTCTATAAGTAGGCCACATACCGGCACAAACACAACACTTTGTTGTGGAAATACAGGACGTGAAGATGCTCTGCCCAAGTAAGGTAAGTGGGGGCAGAGAAGACTGGGGTCTATTGGAAAGCCAGGGTGTCAAAATACGCTAATCGGTGAGCACAAATAGGTCCCTCTACCCCACCCGGGGGACCAGGGTTAAGTACTATCTCATAAAAAGTAAAGTAATATGGCCTATAAAATTGTGGAGAAGTATGTGTGGTGGGGCATTTTATAGCAGACGGAGGCCTCTACTTCGGGGGCATACTTACTATGACCTATGATGGGTCAAATCCTGAAAGGATCATATTATGATCACTCTCTAGAATCTTGCACAGCAGCTACATGCCCAGTTCCATGCTGAGGAATGTCGCACTGCTTATTTACTTACTGTTGGTACAACAACATACATTGACCGTGTCAATGGGCGGGTGAGTCAACCGGCCCATGCCATGGCCATTATTGTTGTAGAGATGACATTCAACCGTGTCGAGCAAGTGAATACTCCCTCACCCTAAATAGAAAAGAAGTCCCAAAAATATTTACCTCTTCTCCTGACTGAAAATCGTCCATGGTTGAAGAATTCTTGTACACACAGATAAAAAAGGTCTGGACACTGTCTGCTTACTTGATGTGCAGGTCTCGATGACAACCAAGTCTCGAAGGAACTCGAACGAGATTATAATGGGAACTAAAAAGTGTGCAGAAGTTTCCTACAGAACAAACTTATATTGCTAAAAATGCGATGACAGGAATTGAAACTTATCATTTGTGTGTCTAACTTAATTTGGGCACTTTATTATTTAGAATAAAATATTCCGAAATATATCAAGTAAAATTTTTTTTCTGTTATTACTTTCCGTACAACAAAAGTTACAAATCAAATTACAAATCAAATGGTATCACATGTTCCAGTAATTATTTTGGAAAGTTTGTACAGTACGTACTAAACCAAAACATAAAACAATAACAACATATTGCACAAGCTCGTAAAATAACCAGCCCCCTCAAGTAAGGCATCAGCCGGTAGAAGTGTCTCACTTCTTGGCACCGTATAGCGGACACGAATTTCTCTAAAGAAGGATATACCTCATTTAGAACTCAGGTAGTGAATAAAGTACTCACTTTCTGCTGAGTTTACAACGATTTAGAGAATATTGACTCTTATTGCATGGAATAAATTACGACTAAAACCGCTATGCTATGGCTATGGTTACGCCTACACCTCAGCAAAATCTACTTTCACTTTCTATTTCGTTTTTTATTAACAGGTTCATTTCTCGATCTAGATCTAAGTCTAAATTTGCGTAGGTCATGGACCTGGACATTGTTCTGAATCATAATGACATATCATGTCATGTTTTAACGATTCGATCCCTGCGATTCCTTCTTTGGGCTGATACGAAGAATGATTAAAATGTGTTGTTGACTTCAGCAGTGTCACGTCTTCAGACATATTTTATTGGACTTTTTAAAGTTAGATCTCAAGTGGCTATTCTCAAGTGTCGCGCCGGTCAATAGATTGATGGCTATTCTCCAGCGTCACGTATAGTTGCTCATGTACATTTATGGCCTTACACAAACACTCATCAGGATTGGCATTTCTTCAGAATGCGATTCACTACTGTGGACACGCAGCCACTACTCAATGAAAGCACCAGTGATGGAAGAAGGAGAAATTTGTGTGTCAAAGGTGGCAGCACCAGAAGTGCCAACAACCCTCAGTCACAACCAGAAGTACAAGAAGGCGCATCTGGCACTGAACTCAGTTGCAACAATAATGGGAGATGGAAAGCTGTGGAGAAGCGACACATGTGCAACTATGCGTGACGCCATCGATCTATTGACCGGCGCGACGCCAGAGAATAGCTACTTGCTTTTTATTTAACATTTGGTTTTATGCCTTCCTGCATAATGATAATTATTATTAGTAGGATTCGGCCTTTTATCGTTAAAATGATGTCATAAGTTCTAGTACATCTAATAGTAGAGTTGCTGTTGTGAGTCTACACAAAACACAGAGCCAGTTTGATTAAAGTTTGTAGATCTTAAATAATAATGTTGGTTTTTGTTCACAATCTTCATAGAAGTCATGCCATGAGAAATGAATCAGGTTGGTAAAATTGATTTGAAGAGGCTGATAGAAAGCTATTTTATATATATATAGGCCTATATATTGAAATTTTCCATCATGTAATCTTGTATGTATGGGGTTCAAGAATCTTTCAACACAATAAATCTCAAAATGCTGCACTCGGCACTTAAAGCCATTTTTGAAAGAACTAATAAATAACTCAACTGTGTTATGAACAGTTAGGTTTTGTGAAGAACATCATCACACTGTGCCAGATATAAAATTAAACATTTGCTTCAAGTTTCATTGTTGTCCCGAGAGGTCAAAGTTTTCTCTGCTTTAACGTCAGGGTCAAATTTTATGAAGCTAGGCGTGGTCTATTTGCAGTGTGCACTGAAGCTGCTATTCAATTGAACTGAATTGACCTGACTGATCCTGATCTGATCTTACCAATGGGCATCCGGTGTAACTAATTTCTATCTTTTGGGTGGCTTGTATGATATATAATAATAATAATAATAATAATAATAATAATAAATAGCCTTTGTATAGCACATTCCCCGCTCAACAGTAGGCTCTCTATGCGCTTTACACTGTTATTACCCCAGCAGAAAATAGAACACTCGGGAACATTCTCAGCTTCCTGGGAAGCGTACAGTGCAAGCAGCTGATTAAACACTCAAACACTAACAAACTGACAAGATCTTTCGCTGTCTATAGCTGGGTACCCATTCCCACCTGGGTGAAGTGAGGAAAATTCGTGTAAAGTGCCTTTCCCAAGGACACAATGCCGGGCCCCTGACGGGATTCGAACCCACGACACAGCGGATAAAATACCGTCCACACCGCTCACTTAGTTTTCCTTCCCCGGTTCCTCCCCGACCATCCTCACCACCCTGCCCGCCCCGCCCGACAGCCCAGCGCGTAGTCATAAATCACTTGTCAGAGGGGTTAATTGGGGTGACCGCAGCGCCACTCCTCCTGTGCCGGGGCAGTAGTAAATATGGCGTTTTAGTGCAAATTGAAAGCCTCCTAACTCTGAAACTATAAATGCTACAAGGCCGATTGAGATTTCATTGTAACGTGCTATGTTTGACCTGTAGGCCGGTATAACTTGTTTTCTTGTAAGTCCGATTATATCAGTTTTACAAGGGATTTAAGTAAGTCTGTGATTTTCAAACTGGCATCTTCAATGTTTAGAACTTTTTCAGTTTGGATTTAGATATTTCAATCCGGCCCCCAACGATTTAAACAGAAATTCATGTATCAACTGTGGTGACAATTTTCATTTACATGTGCAAGTTTCAAATGCACGAAGTTATTCTATGATTTTCTGTGATTTTTTAAAAATACCAACCCACCACTCTGAACATTCATTCTTGCTGTTTTTAGTTTTCTTGCCTCTACTACATCTGATTTTCGTTGTCATTTTTAACAATATTTTTGTCATGGAGTGCCACACTCAACATGATCATATGGTGGGCATTGTGCTCAAACATCATCGCCTTCTTGAGGAGGCTGCACATGATATAGATGTACAGCTGGTCCATCAATCTATGGAGAATTGCACGCCTGGAATAGGACAAAATGTGCATATCTACGGCAAAAAATGAAAGAGGGCTGGAAAAAAACGAGGAGGACATTCAATTGTTACAGGGCTGTCAGATTTTTCGGATAATCCACGAGAAGCAGAGAGATTTGAGAGGAAGGGTTCTAGTGTACATGATCAGCTGTCAGAGTTAGAGTTTGAGGAGCTTATTCCAAGGTCAAGTCCTGCCTGCTCTGAATTTGATAACATCCTCAAACAACACAACATCACACCACAGGCCTACCACAGCCGTTCATTTATAGGAAGCCACTGCCATAAATTCATCACAGCCCATGTGTACAGACAGCTAGCATCATTTTTAGCAAAAGGAACAGTAATATTGCATGTACACGAAATCAAAGCATAATAGACACTGCATTAATTGTTCTGAGAGAGAAATTTGTTCACGTAAAAGACACCTTCAAAGATATCCACACAGTAATTGCACATGGAAAGCCAATCACTTTAGAGAGAATACCACATATTCAGTCATGCATCACACGATATATGTCTTTATACAGAAACATATTTGGCAAATAAAAGGTCTTGAGTCGATAGTGCCGTAAAACACGTGCTACTCAATCAAAATGGATCAAAAGAAAAGGTCATCCCCAAACAACACATCCTTGAGAAACACTGCGTTCCTTGGATACAAAAATGTGGGTTTGGAATGGCCTTTCATTGTGAGTCTCATTCATGCACCGTGGCCTAACAGACAAAGAAAAACACGTCAAAACAATCATGCAGTCACAACACGTCCAAACCCACCCTGAGCTACTCTGTCGTGTGCACCACCCATCAAAAGACGAAAGCTTACAGCGGAAAAATGAGATAATTCCTCCAGTCCAGCAATGTTGTGTTCTTTTTGTATTTTGTGTTTAGGTTGTGTTTTCATAAGTGTATCGGCAAGAAAAGATCTGTCCTGTAGTTACATGTATCGTGGATATCGCTATGAAAAAACAAGGTCGCAAAGCAAGAGTATTGCAAAAATCAACTTCAAACCTGAATAATTACGGATCCAGAAACTTCGTGCGTATGCCCCTTTGTCAGTACAAATTTCATTATGTTCTCAGTCCTGTGTGCAAATTTGATTGAATTCGTTGGGGGCAATCATATTTAAATCGATGTTTATAATTGATTACCCATGACACATTTATCAAATTAAGTCCCCTTTTTGAGAACTTCACAGCTTTTAAGTGTAATGTACCATGTTCTTCCGATTTCTACATTTTCTTCCTTAATATGTTGAATATTTACGTGGTCTTGATTAAAATATTCATCTTACATTAGCTTTGGCTCACTGTGCTGGTAAACTTTGCAAAAAATACAAGAGCGCTGCCGGTGTTCGGCTGATTAGGGAAATCCCCGGCGGCGCAGGTAAATGACCCCGTGACCTGGGGAAGCGCGGGCTTGCTTGCCTCGCGCCAGCCGAAACTAAATGGGCGCTCTATAACCGCTGTGACGACCTTACGGTTGCGAGTCCGAGAGCCTAACCACTAGGCCACCGACACCACAGTTAATATTCAGTTAGCACCAGGTTCCAAGCAACATCTTTTGATCATTCCTCCATACCTTGGGGTCCAATAAATATTAGAGTAATTCTATCAACAGTGCACGGCTTATCTATGTGACATGGGTGATAGAAACTACCTGTAAACTTTACTTATATGCGCGTCATTCACGTAAGTTTTAATACAAGTTCCCCCTCATGAGAACATTCGTATTAACTCACACTATTGGATGCTTACTTCAGCTTTTGGTTTTTTTTCATCAGGCGGACATTATCGTTATCAACTGCCACTTAGTGGTGAGGGACACCATGTTGGAGTTGCCGAGGCTTACTGGAGCTCTTCGGGCCTTTGGTAGCGTGACATCTCAAGACGACACAGAGGGGTCAACTGTCTTCCATAATGACCTTGTCTTGCGGAAATCCCTGGCCTTGCAAAAGCAGAAAGAGAAAAGTCTGTCTTGGAAAGACTTGAATTCATTTTTCAGAACTCACTCCAATGTGAGTCCCAATGAACTGGCCACCACAGTGAAGCAGCTGATTGCAACAGCGAAGAGTATTGGTGAGATGCTGTGATCTCTTTTTTGCTTTTAAGAGAAAGACTGGGTCTTTTATAAATGCCATGCTGTTGAATTGTATTGTGGCAGAGAGCAATTTTGCAATGTCAAATGTTGGATTGTTCAACTTAGGTAGTTATATTTTGCTCAAAGTCCAGCAGTGGCATGTATATATATTTCTAGTACAATGAATGGGCTCACCACCTTGCATATGTAAAAATCAATGTGACTTTGATTCCCTGGATTTCCCCCTCTGTCATGTAGTTTTTGTGTCAATAAAGACTTGCCTACAACTGGAGCCAGTACGGATGTTTTGTTTATTTTTCTTTTGTTTTTCATATTTTTGATTTAAAGGAAATCAGGGGAATGGGAGGGAATGTTAGACACATGTTGGAAAACTAAGAAATGGGGAGATATTTTATCTTAAAGATACCATTGTTTCATATGGAAGTTTGCACTGATGGTTGGTTCAGGCGACTAATTTGCTAACCCTTCTTATGATGGAATGTAAAGTGTATGAAAATCTGTTCTCAAATGTACATGTCTAATTTTGACATTGGTTCATGCCTCTGTCTTCCTTGCTCCATTCTTCTCACTTCTATACTCTTTCCACTGAGCGTAGTGCTCTCGCATCAAAATGACCATTATTATTTAAGATATCTTTAAAGACACATTTAATGACATCATTTTTATGTCAGTAGATTCATGTTCAGTACAATGTTATGTAAATGTCTATGTATCCTTTTATGTATTTTGCGAATTGCATTGTGTATATTATTTTATTAAATGTATTTGTATGGGATCATTTCGTAACGATGTGTAAGCGTGCGCATGTGATAAGCAAGTAGATGTGTGTGTGTATGTGTGTGCGTGTGTTTGGCGTACATGTGTGCACATGTGTGCGTGTAATGTGTGGGTGAGTGTGTGTGTGTTTGAATATTTGTATGGAGTGTGTGTGTGTGTGTGCGTGAATATTGTTCGTACATCTCTCTCTCTCTTGCCCTTTTTAACTCCGTACATGCCTTTATGTAAAGCACGTAGACCTGTGCTTATACGGGAGTGGGTGCTGTAGAAATGATCTTCATTATTATTATTATTAAAAGCTGAAGAGTCTCACCCGATGTTTAAAAAAAGAAAGAGACTTTTCAATCCGTTCTTTTTTCTGTTCCAGTTGGATCCGAGGAGTCTGCGGACACAGTGGAGTGTGGCGCGGCTTTTCTGTTTGAGGTGTTCAAGTCTGTGGAGACGGTCGGTCAGAGAGAGGCCACCCAACTGAGAGGCACGTTCGGCCCCTACCCGGCCAGCGCTGCCACCAAAGCGTGTCAGATTGTGAAGAAGATCGTAGGCTGGCTACCTGAGGAAGCTGTGGCTGAATTGTCCTCAGAAAGAGAAGAGGGTATGTGAGAAGATTATGTTTAACACGACATATTTTTCTTGACAATTTATTATGGGAGTCCACTACAATCCATCCACTCTCTTTAAATCAATTTTTTTTCTGAGATAGTCTTAAATTACCTTGTTGCAGTGAACCAAATGAATTTAATACAGTGATTATGACCTTTGTGCTGAGTTTGAGAAAGTAGGCGAATGTAGTTACGGGGCTTTGTTCTTCCTAGTATACTTTTTGCTGGAGTTTTGAGTATATTAGGTGAGAGAAAATGCATAGAAGTATTGTAATCCCCGTTGATGGATATTTGTGAGGCGCTCGTCAAAATAAAAAAATAGGAGAAACAGGCATTTTTCCGAAAGTTTGGACATTTTTATCTAATTTTTATTTTTCGAGCTCAGCCTTTTTTGTGTCCATATATTTTAATAAAAAACATTGGTTAAAGGCACAGAATATATCACTTTTCTGTTTTCAAGGACTCTTCAGCTATTAAAATTAATACATTTTTGTGGCCATTTTCTCGCTAATTTCACCATTGAAACCAGGCGACCTCACTTCCTTCAATCGCAAATATCTTGAGTTCTATTCAAGATATATGGATATTTATTTCACTTAAAGCAAGATAGATAAATCAGCTTTCAGGTGATACCAATAATTCCAGATGCCCCAAAATTGATGAGTGCCTGATTCCACCGTGTCATGACACATTTGTGCATTTATATTGTAATTTACAATTACTCTAAAGTCCAAATATGCCATTTGCTCCCCATTGGATGGGTTATCATTTGTGAATTTATGATTTTTTTTTACTTTTTCAGGAGATGGGGCAGCTACCCTTGAAGAATTTGGTCTCTCGATCAAATTCACTATGCCTTATGATATAGATTCTGTCGATGAAGATGAAGAAGAGCTCTCTAGTGAGGAAGAGGAAGACTCTCAGAGCAGCAAAGATTTTGACCTGCGGTACAGTACCCATGCCCAACTCCACACAGACCAGCAGTCAAATACAGGTGCCAGGTCAAGGTCGTCGGAGTTTGACACAAGCTGGATGCTGTCGATGCTGGCCAAGTACTTTGACGGCACCGACACGGGTGTGTGCATGGGCCTTGAGGAACTCTCTGATACCGTCTTTGATGTGATTGCTTCCCAACGCTCTGACAATGAACTGCAAAATGAGGTGAGTCTGTGGGCATCACTTTGTTTTGGTAAGGTTTTGCGGCACTTGCAACTGCATAAGGTCATATGAGCGCCAAGGGGTGGATGACAACAGAGAAATCCAAACGGGGAATCAGGCTTACTACTCTGCTCTCCTCTCTAGTCTCAACAGTACAAAGTCTGCTTCGCCTATCAAGGCACCCCGGAAATTGAAGTTCACAAGAGAGTGACAAACATACAAAAGAAGTAGAGGAATAATGATGATAGAGATCAGTAAAGAAAAAGCAGCAATTCCCTACTGTTTCATATAGTGTCTCTTTAAAATCAGTCGTTTCTGTAAGTGACATCGATGGTCTAGTGGTTAGGCTGTCGGGCTTGCAACGGAAAAGTCGTGGTTGGCACCCTGTCAGGGGCCTCATCTCACGTCTTTGGAAAAGGCAGTGTACACACGAAGTTTTCTCACTTCACCCAGGTGGGAATTAATACCTGGCTAGACTAGACTTGCTAAAGAGACAGCTGAAGATCTTGTCAGTATGTTAATGTATGAGTGCTTAACTGGGCTGCTGGCACTGTATGGGTGAAGCTGAGAATATTTCTGAGTTTTTTTATGGTCTGCTGGGGTAATAACATTGATTGCAAAGTGCACAGAGCTTGCTGTTGAGTTGGGGTATGTGCTATACAAATGCTGTTTACTATTATTAATGCGGCATTTGCCTTGACTCATTCCTTCTGCTTTGCTAATTTATGCAAGTCCTTCCAGCTTAATAGACTGAGTTGGTAGAACAGGGCACATGATACATAAGAATATCAGAGACTTTGATTCCTGTTTAATATTCTCAGTAATGGACTCTCAGGTAATGTGTTATGGTGTTTTTGGATACTATGGTACTTTGACGACATCTGTAGCAGTCCTGTGTGTTGTATATATGGATGGTACTGTAAGTTGCTTAACCCTATCCGTACGTCGTGTTTTATTATCGTATCCATACGACGTGGGGAACTCTGTGCCACCACTTAACCCTATCTGTACGTCGTGTTTTATTATCGTATCTATACGACGTGGGGAACTCTGTGCCACCACTTAACCCTATCCGTACGTCGTGTTTGATTATCGTATCCATACAACGTGGGGAACTCTGTGCCACCACTTTCAAAGAGGGAATTTACTCGTTAATCCGATCCGTATGCTTTGCATAGCAGTCTGTCAAAATGAATTTTTGAGAAATACTGAAACTTTCAAAGAGATTTTCATCCTAGAAGTATTTCTAAAAAGTGAAGAATACAACCCCGGGGGGTACAAAATGACCCCCAGTCTTCCGGATAGGGTTAAATGTTATTGCATAAATTCTAATGAGTTATTTAGCTGTCAGTCGTCGATGTTACAAGTGTTTATTGGAGCTTATTTTTAAAAAGTTGAATTTGTTCCCATTTCTTCGTAAAATTTGCATTCTTTTTGATTTTCGTGCCTAAGAGTCAATATTGTTCTCTTAAATTCAAACTTTAAAGTATTCAGATTGTAATATTCAATTTGGTTGATATGGTATCATTTGCTTTGGCTGTAATGCAGTACCTTTCCTAACATGATGACTATCAATTTTCTCTTTTATTTTTTTTTTCAATCCCAACTCCCACGTCAAAACCCTCAAGCTGTTTGACCTGCTAGGCTTTGACAGGTTTGAGCTGATCCAGCAAATCCTCAGCAACCGTGACAAGCTGCTCAAGGCCAAGGTCTCGGAATCCACACGTGCCCTTATGCAGCAAGCTCCTAGTAAGTCAATGTTTGACTATTCTTCTCATAGACAAAGTTGGCTCTTGCAATGAATTTTTCTTTTTCACCGCCTCGCTCTCTCTGCCACCCTCTCCCTCTCTCCCTTGCTCTCTCTCTCTCTCCCTCTCTCTCTCTCTCTCTGTCTCTCTCTCTCTCCTCTCTCTGTTTCTCTCTCACTTTTTCTCAGTCTTTCTCTCTTTTTTTCTTTTCCCCTGTCCATCTCTCTTCCTCTTCCTCTTCCCCCTCTGTTCTTCCCTGTCTCTCACCCTGTCTTCTGCTCTTTCATTCTGTCTCATTCTCTATATCATCATTCTCTGTCTCCGTCACTCTGCTACTCATGCCTACATCTCTGAGCTTGCACAAGTCACTTTGCAATCACACAGCCAGCAGTACAAAATACCCCATCTGGTCACCCAGCCACGAGAGAGACTGCAGCAGACTTCTCGGGCCTGGCGCCGGACGCCAGGGGCCAGGTGACCAAAACGGATAATTTTCATCAGCACATTATTGCGCCAAGTGACTGCAAAGTGTCGAATCATAGTTACAGAAGTGATGGACTTTCTACTATTTTATCCAAGAATTACTCACACCTTGCTCGAGTTCTGAAGTGTTAACTCAAGATGCCGCTGAATCTGTTGATACCTATTGTGTTCTTAGACTTTATCTTTTCCTGGGGTTACATGATTTATTAACTGAATGGCTCTTGATTTCTAACCCTCCCAGCCCCAGCCATTTTTGTGTTCTTTCTCCCTGACCCCAGTCCCAGCCAATACAGCAGTATTTCAGAAAAAGAGGCATACATTCTTAAAAAATGATGTATCTTTGTAATGAGGTTTAGATAATAACATTTAACAATGTTTAAAGGTAAAAGAACAAATATTATGAGCATTAAAGTTCAATTAAATTAGCTAATTTTGAAAAATGCGCAAATTCAGTAACCCCGAAACTGGGAATACACACTCTTGGGACGATGGGAGGTACAAGCGCTGCTGGGATGGAAGGGTTAATATAAAAAAAAACAACCATATTTCCTAAAAGATTATAGTTGTGTATGTTTTGTGGCCCTCATTGACAAAATTAGATCATTTAAGAGGCTGGCTACTTCAGCCTTAACTGTCAGGTCCATCCCGGGCTGAGAGGGATACAACATCCCATCCCAGCAGACAGACAAAGTTACTTGAGTATATGAGTGTTTGAGCGCCTGCAGATGGCAGCTTGCCCTGTATGCCTCCCAGGAAGTTGAGGTTGCTTCAGAATGCTATCAGGTCTGCTGGGGTAATGATATAGATGGTAAAGGCATAGAATTTGTTTTTGAGCGGGACTTTATGCTGTACAAATACCATCTATCTGTTGTTTTTATTAGACTTAACAATTCCTCCCTACGTGTCCTTTGCATACATTGCAGAAGCGTGAAACTGCTAACCACAGATGCAGATGCTCGAAGTTTGCCTAATGGAATATTTTTTTCAATTTGTTGCAGAAAATAAGGAACCTTCTCGTCCTGCATATGGCTGTCAAGTGGTTGTGCAGGTAAGGAAATTCTACTGTATTGACTTCATTGGCTTTTTACCTAGAATTCGCCTGATTTGAGCATTTTGACAATGAAAATTACAATCTTATTCATCTTGCAGTGAGAAATTTATTTTCTTTAAAAAATTGTTCACTAGCTATAGAAAGTTATGTGTTTTTCTAGAGCATTTAGAAAGTAAGATATTTTAATTCTGATGTCATAGTTATGAAACAAAAGTTAAATGACTTTTGAAAAATAAATTTTTTTCTAAGAAGAGGTCAGGATGGAAGTAAAAGAATCAGCATTGGAAGAGGGGAAGGTGGCTGGGAAAACCATTTCAGTTTTGCTTTAAAAAAATGCATGGGAGAAACATGGATAGCAGTTATCTTTCTTTTAGTTCTTATGGACTGTGATTAATCTGCAGTTTGACATAGTAAATTTAAGTAAACTAGGCAAAATGATTAGCATAATTCGTCTTCTGTTGTCTTTTTTATATCTAAGGCTATTGCATAAATTCTGAAGGTGGGTGGTTGGCGGGTGCTCTGGTGTGGTTTGCTTCTTCTTTCCTATCAAACGTCTATCATCTTTATCTCCCCTCCTTCTCTTTTGTGTTTGTTACTCTCTTATAACACGCCTAATCTTCGGCACTGATATGACCTCATTGTGTTGCAAGTGCCGTGAAACTCTAACTAAAACAAAACATTCTGAAGACCAAGGTTTTTCCCTTTACTGCCTGGCCCGAGACTGTCTGGGGCTCTTTGATTGGATTATGAATGGAAGCAAACTCCTGTTTAAGTGAAGCTTCATGTTTATCTCAACACAAATTTTTAATGTTTTCTTTTTATCAAATGGAGTGAAAGCTCAGCTGTTCTGTGCAGCAAAAATTTTTGTATATTTTTTTCTTTTGGGTTTTTGTTTCGAAACTTCACAATATAACCCTACCCACCATTTGCTTCCTCATATACAACCACCCAGAACCTTTCGTATAAAAGTTTCAGCTCACTGTTTCTTATGTCATGGGGTCCAGAGTGTTGGTGATAATTTGGCTGTGGGTTTGCGAGGGGAAATATGACGTGACTAAACTTCTAAAATAATTTGAAATATAAAAGAATATTATTTTTTTGCTTTTAAGCAGTTGATTTATGAAATGCAGCATTGCACTTTCACTTCAAGATCTACTCCATTACTCAAGTCTCAGGCCTGGCAATGAAGGGGTTTATGATTGACTGGCTTTTTGCTTCAATTGGTCCCTTTTAAACTCAAGGGGGCTATCCAGATAAATGCTGTTTTGAGAAAATCGAAGTTAAAGTTTTGGGATCCTTATTCCGTCTCTTTAAAAAACAAGGAGAATTTTCTCTATAATCACCAAGCAAATATACACTCCAGTGAAACCAAACTTCTCCTATAGGTAGGGCAATGCTCACTTTTAGTGTAGGTCAAGATTTCTGGAACCCCCCGAAATCTGGGTCAGCCCTCTTGTCCTTAAAAGCGACCAATGAACTCTTTCCCTTCTGTAGAGTGTTGAGGAGAAGTACCTAGCCAAGCAGATACGCAAGGAAGAAAAGCGGACACGAAAGGACGGAAGATTCACCGATGAGGATATGGAGATTGCTGGAGCTCTTGACATGTCTCCGGAGGAGCTCAGAGCCAGCAGGTATGTGTTTATTTCTCATACATACAGGTGTGTGTGTGTGTGTGTGTGTGGGTTTGTGTATGTGTGTGTGTGTGTGTTTATTTCTCATACGTGCGAGTGTGTGTGCGTGTGTTTTTTTGTGTGTGTGTGTGTGTGTGTGTGTGTGTGTGTGTGTGTGTGTGTGTGTGTTTGCAGGTGTGTTCTGACTGGAGCAGTAACAGTGTCCTCCAATATTGCAATGCTTTAAGTTGCTAAGGATTGCAATTGACTTGTATAGATTTTCCTGGTCTTATCTGAGACTAGGGCTGAGAGGGATAGCGGGTGGTTGGCGGGTGCTCTGGTGTGGTTTACTCCTTCTTTCCTATCAAACATCTATTGTCCTGATCTCTCCTACTTTTTTTCTGTGTTTGTTACTGTCTTGTAACACCTCTAATCTTCGGCTTTTATATGACCTCATTATGTTGCAAGTGCCGTTAAACTCTTACTAAAATTAAACTGAGAGGGATACAAAAGCCAAGCAGAAAGACTGAGATACTCTACAATAGTTTTCCCCATTCAGAACACGAGCACTCTGGTCTATTGTGTGCATGCCAAATCACTTAACCACCACACCCCAGACGCCAGTAATGTGTTGGTCACAGTTATTTCAAGTGGCTGGTTGGTGGGTGCTCTGGTGTGGTTTGCTCCTTCTTTCCTATCAAACATCTATCGTCCGTACCTCCCCTTCTTCTTTTTTATGTTTGTTACTCTCTTGTAACACCTGTAATCTTCGGCACTTATATGACCTTATGCAGTTGCAAGCGCCGTAAAACCTCTACTAAAACTAAAGACAGTTATTTCAACAGCTCCACATTGTGCGTGTGTGTCTGTGTGTGTGTTTCAGGGAGGCGGCTCTGCGTGCGGCAGCTTCCGCTCCTCTCTTCTCCGGACGGTCTGCCAGCTACGTGCGCCAGGAGAGGTATCCCTTCGTGTTTGACAAGCTGGCGGAGGCTAGGCAGTCATCCGCGTTTGTCGGAGGGGCAAAGGTAAATTGCACTTTGATGTTCTTTTTTTTATCTAGCCCAAACAGTCCTCCGAACTCATTGTCTGTGCAAAGGTAAATGGCATTTAGATGGGACTTGTATGTTCTTTACCTTTCTATCTGACCCAAGAAAGCCTGTTTTTCAGATACTCTGTCATCTGTATGAGACTGATGCTATTGCTTCTAGGGGAGGACTTCCGTAATGAGCGACCACTATGAGACAGCAGAATTGAGGGCTAGGGGTAGGGGTAGATCTAGGGTTAGGCCTCTTCTTTACTATGTTTGATGGGGTGGTCGCTCATTACAGAAGTCCTTCCGTTTCTAGTTCTGGTCCTGACAAAGTTTTTGTTCAATGTTCCCTAACTGGCTGCTGGGTCTCAGTCTATTTTTTTATTTTAAAAATTTTGGTACATGGCTGATAACCGATACAATCCAAGATAGTTTTTGATTTGTAAACAGTTGTATTATCGGGGGTGGTGTTAAAAAGTTTCCATGACCAAAGCTTTCCTCTTTTCTGCCTGTGATTCATCAGAGGCTTTGGCAACTACAGATGGCTTTTTAAGAAATTGTGTCGTAAATCCTTGCTTTGCTGAATGCGTGTCATATGACACCTGACGTCGTGGAATCTTCAGTGTGCTTCTGTTTGCTCTTGGTTGAGAAAAATTTGTTGCTGCAATAAGTATCTCATGCCAGTGTGAATACCATGACATGTGAGGCGGCGTGGTGGAATCAGGCTCTCGTCAATTTTGGGGCACATAGAATTATTGGTATCATCTTAAAGCTTGTTCATTTGTCTTGCTTTCAATGAAAGAATTACCCATCCATCTTCAATAGAAGTGGAGATATATTGTATTGAAGGAGGTGGGGGTCATCTGGTTTAATAGGAAAAATTAGCGAGAAAATGGCCGCGAAAGCTAGGTACATTCCAAAGCTGGAGAGTCCTTGGAAACTGTAAATTTATATTTTTGTGCCTTAAATCAACGTTTTCGGTGAAATCCTCCAAGGAATGTGTTTGTAAATGGACATAACAGGTGTTGAGCCAAGAAACAAATATTTGATAAAGATTGCTCAGCAGGGAGAAAACTGCTGTTTTCTCCGATTTCATTATTTTGACGAGAGCCTGATTCCACCATGCGGCCTCACATATACCCTTTGTGGTTTTGGTGTATGTGCAAGGGCTACTTATCTATGTTTGTGGGTGGTTTGCGGGTGCTCTTGTGTGGTTTGCTCCTTCTTTCCTATCAAACATCTATCGTCCTGATTTCTCGTACTTCTTTTGTGTGTTTGTTTCTCTCTTGTAATTCCTCTAATCTTGGGCACTTATATGACCTTGTTGTGTTGCAAGTTCCGTAAAATTCTGACTAAAACTATCTGTGTTTCAGTTTTGTGTGTGTCCTGTGTCCTGATTTGCTGCTGGATGTTTATGATTTTTGGAGAAAATTTGTCACCATGGAAGTAATTGTTGTCCTTGGAAAAAAAAAAAAAAGAAAATTGTTTGGAATTTGTTGATGATGATTTTTTTTGGGGTTTCCTTAATGGGCCTGGTGGACTCCACGAAGAAATCTTCGAGCGAGAGCGAGGTTTTTTTTCTGCTCCATTGTCATTATACTCAGAGGCACCTCCACTCGTCCAAACAACTCCATTCGAATTGCCATTGATGATGATGATGATGATGCTGATGATGATGCTGATGATGATGATGACATCTGTGCTTCAGTTTAAGTTCTGCGTCTGTTTCTCTAGTTGGCCCTCCCGGAGAGTTTCACTCGCAAAGACGAGAAGCTGTATGAAGAGGTGAACATCCCACCGAGTGACGCGGCCCCAGTGAACATTGGCAAGGAGAGGGTGTCCATCTCTTCTCTTGACGAGGTATTGTTGGGATGGGGGGAGGAGGGATGTGTGTGTGTATTTGTGTGTGTGGTGTGTGTGTGTGTGTGTGTGTGTGTGTGTGTGT